CAGGAATGGAGCCGTGTGGTGAACTATTTTCTTATACCCTCTGTACAGAGAAGGCCTTTGTCCAGCAGTGGGACATAAACATAGGCTGTTACGTTATATTACTTTTAGGTCGCGTTAAAAGGTTTTCTTTAATTTGCTTTTTATATAAAAATTACGACCTGTAATCTGTATTCTCATACAAGGCGCACACACGCGCACACACTCGTGCACGAGGCAACAACCATTTATCAAGACTCACTCAGCTCAGAAACGTCAGCCCTATTTTATCTATGAATGTAAAAAACATCAGTACAGTCCTATCTCTAACTAACCCCGTAATCGAGAAAAACATAAGAGCATGTTAAAATTTAGTCCTGTCCGCTTTTCAGACGTTTTCTTCACTGTTATTTTAAATATTGCAAATTCCTTAGAAAATTATAGAGGACTGTGTTTACCTACCCCATGCTTTACTTTTAGACAAACGCCGATTAAGTAAAGTAAACAATAATGTTTTGAACATTACTGTCGATATCCAAACAGCTTTGTTGATTTCACTCAGTCCTTGGGCGATTGTATTTGATCATCGGCTCTTTTGATATTTTTTTTTTTATATTCACGTCTGACAGTTTCAGGTAGTCATCCACAAATCGTTATAGAGTAATCCGACAAGAAGAGCATCATATTTGTAAGTTATAGAATGAATTAGAAATTCCAATGTATTGGATCCATTCACGTTAATGCGAAATACCAGTTTTGGATGCATAGTTTAGTAGCATGTCTTCTTCAACCTCATTTAGTAGTAGTCATGTTGAAATCACATCATCTGTGTTATGCATATTCTTAGTATTTTAGAATATTTAAAATATACGTCTCAATACTAACGGCTCCGTTGACGGTGTGCAAGTGTACAGATTGTATTTAAGATATAGTGAAGTAAAAAGAGCTCATAAAATCTGTCCCAATCCATACTTACTAATATTATAAATGCGAAAGTAACTCTGTCTGTCTGTCTCGCTTTCACGCCAAAACTATTAAACCGATTTAAATGAAATTTAGACACAGATAGTCTAGAGCTTGAGAAAGGACATAGGATATTTTTTTACTTGGAAAAATTAAAAAGATATATATTTATTTAAGGCATTCAACGCGAGCGAAGCATCGGGCGAAAGGCTAGTACAACAAATTCTAAAGAAAAAACTTCACTCAGTAAATTTAGACAACAGATACATACATTATGAAAATTATATATCATACTTATGGAAATCCATCATAAATTGAAGTGGAAATTTGATTTGAGATGTAGTTTATTTCAGCGAAAACTCGTCTGTTAGTATATTTGACAAAATTTTTATTTTCTTCGACCCATATCAAAGGATTGTCACTGGACTTAATGGAGTATGTTATAAAATATTGAATAAAAATATACTAGCTAAGTAATATTTTGTGTTGTATGTTACTTCCATTAAAATAAAGAGTAACATATCTTATTTGAACCCGGTGATTTAATGTCCGGCACATGCACTTTGCTAACAATAATCTGTTAATTACTTGCACCATAAAACATAGAATTTTATTATCATAATATTTAGCCGGCCATTGTTAAGTTTGAGAGTTCTGGACGACTCTTGGAATGGAGCCAGATGGTTTCTCCGCAGCAACTCTTTCGATCTCTCCTTGGACTTTTAGAAGAGGCGTCATTTCATGTTTAGCGCATATGTAGTTTTCTTTAAGTGAATCTTGCTAGACGACGGTCCGATAATTAATTGAACAAGAATTGATCGAAATGTCAAGGACGCATCACGTTTACGTACATTTCGTTACATGAGGGAGAAGAAAGATATAACGTAGTGAGGAGAAAGAGAGCCTCACATACAGTATATGTAATACCGCGCGATTTTTATCCCCGAATAAATAATACTAATAAATTCTAAATTAGTTAATGTTTATAAATCAAAACGACATACCTGCACGGAACACATATACCTACTCGGGGAAGAAGTGTACATAAAAATTGGTCTTTGACAAGTTTCAAATATCTAGGCGGAATTATAATAATTACGAATCTTTGTTTTTTCATCATTGTTATGTTGTACTTTAATCTTTATTTATCTTACGATTATATACTTTAACAAGTTAACCAACAAGAATCCATCTCTAAAAAGCATTCTTAACTAAGGAAACCATTTCTAATGTACATCACTCCCTTTCTCAGCAGGTTTATCCCACCTAGGTGGTCGGCACTACATATGAATTTTTTTTTTATGTGAAAAGTTGCAAACGAGCAGAACTGATTTTAAGTGAATACCGCCGCCCATGGACATCTGCTACACCCGAGGGTTGCAGATGTGTTGACAACCTTTTGAAAATTAGGCTTCGGCCACCTCACTCACCAGACGAACCGCGAAAGTATTATACTTCCACTTTACGCCGGTCTTCTGTGAGGTCTTGGTACTTACCCGGACGAGCCTGCCCATTCGTGCAACAGCCGAGGCTGCTGCATGGCTCTACCACCGTTGATTGTTAATCGTATTGGCTAGTTTTTTTTTTCACCACCCGCCTGCCAAACTTCTGCTACTAACTAATTCTTAAAACTTCTGCCTAACTTCCATCCTGGGGAACAAAGATATAATCCGGAAATGTTATCTGTACGTAACACAAACACTTCTTCCGTGTGGTAATCGAACCCACGACCCCCGGCGATAAAGCCATAGCTTAGCAACTGCGCCACCGAGTTACGTGTGTTTCACTATCTGGACGATTCTGGTACATATCTGGCGAAATCGTTCGCGTTACTGACGTGATGCAGTGTTTTTATCATCTCTATATACAAAAATGAATCGCTGAATGTGTTGCTAAGTGCAAATTTCGAGAACAGCTGAATCGATTTCGCTAATTCTTTTTTTTATAATATTCCTTGAAATACTTGGATGAAATACGTGTGACTTCCTTGAAATACGTGGATGGTTCTTACGGAGCGAAAAATTACTAAAAATAACACTTTTATATACTCCCATACAAAAGATTCGTAATAATACTTGAAATTCAATTTGAACTTTAATAACATACCATAAAGTTGAAGTGTTAGTCGATAGAGTGATTCAGGAAGAAGGTTTATACGTATAATACATTGCACCCGTACGAAGCCGGGGCGGGTCGCTAGTTTGGTATAAATGTCATTTAAATATAAAACAAATTAATCTGCTTCTTCGGTAAGCTTTTCTTGTCACATTAAATATTCCACAAAAATTTCTCACGTGTTATATTTAAATATCGCTGTTATTCATTCCACAAATCATAGCACTCATTCCCAGTCAAATTTCTAATTGAATCCCTCACCATCTAACCGTCGATTTATGGCTGATGTTTATCAGTGTTACACATGTCCATATACAATGGTTGATTACACATGTCCATATACATGTCCATATACAATGACATGTACACATGTATAGGATATAATTAAAAAAAACTCCCTCAAAAGTAATAAGGTAAAAATCCTGTATACAAAATATACCCCAAATAGCAAAAAGTCTAACTTCCACGTCCAAGTCCACTTGTATGCTACAAAGTCTCGATTGAACCAACTTTGATTATCAAGAATTTTGTTTGTTTGTTATGGTCACTCATTTTCACGAATGTTTGCTTTATTTAATATTTCTAACACGGTCGTAAGTTGTGTGCGCATTAATTGTAGGAACCCTATAGTAAATTTTAGAATTGCACTAATGTCTTTGTTGTCTTGCTAAATTAATTTAAAAGGCATATAATACAAGTCCGTTCGCGTTCCGAGAAAGTAACGGAGGACAATTTTTTCGAAATTTTTACAAACGAGTTCGGTGGCAGTTAAACTGATGAAAATTAGTCACCTCCGCCGATAAACGTCTGCAACACCCGTGGGGTTGCAGATGCTTCGCCAGCTTTTAAAGTGGGCGCCGACTACCTCACTCACCGGCCGAAATCAGAAGAATAATACGAAGAATAATACGAGAAGAATACATTACTTTCGTTTTCTGTGAGGTGAATAATCCCCCGGATGAATATGCCCATTCGTGCAACAGCTAAGGCTGTTGCGTGGCCCTGCCACAGCTTAACAGATGAGGAGTACGCATACTTGCCCGGATGACCCTGCCCATTCAAGCACCAGCTAAGATTACTGCGTGGTCCTACCATTACTCGTAAGCAAGGCAAAACGTACGTATCTCTCTAGTGTTATGTATGTCCATCGGTTGAACTGAGAGCTTGGTTACCTATTTACCTGTAGGATAAATAAGACCTGAGTGGTCAGTAGATGATGCCCTAGCCAAGGCGAAGCAGTAACGGAGTAGATTAATGCCCTAAGGGAGTCAAGAGGCGATTATTTCAAGCCGGTTGTCAATTCAAAGCGGGTTAAATAAATAATACATATTGAAATTTCCAAAAACTTTAGAATCGTCTGGATATTGTCAAATGTTGTGCTATATGATAATTAAGTTTAAGATGTCTGAAATTATACTAGGAAAGTGTTAACAGTTTGACTAAATGTTCACGATTATTTTAATCATCATTATCATCCTCCTGTCCTTATCCCACCTAGGTAGGTTCAGTACAACCTGTGAATATAGCTGAAAATGTTTTTAGATAGGTTTTTTACGACCGGCCGCCTTCCTGATATCAACTAAGGTTAACTGGTAGAAAATGCCTATGGCATTAAGTCCGCCTTTGTACTAGATTGTGCATAAAGTGTAAATAAATAAATAAATAAACTCTGCCCGGAAACAATTATCTGTAGGTTACAAAAATACTTGTTCCGTGTGGGAATCGAACCTACGATTCACGCCCTAGATCACGTGCACAGTCGAACAAATGGCTCCCTTTAAATAGAGTGGACGACCTTCACATTTCAATACTAATTATTCAAACAGTTGATGATATTCTGCCTTCCGTTCTAATTCGCAAGCGCGAGCTTATGCACATGGTATCCGCTCGGGGTGGCCAAGTCGATTGTTGCAAATGGTGGTGTGATGACGTAACGCCTTGTGCAGGGCAGCTGTTGCTGGGCAGACGGCAGCGGGCGGTGCGTTCGCCTGGCGGACACCTCCCTGCTGACCCTCAGCGAGGTGGAGAGGCGAGCGCTGCAGCAGGCCGCCTTGGCTCGTCTGCAGCAGATCAACCTCGGCACCGCCATCAAGATACCTGAAGGTACGTGACCATGCCATTGGCACTCATAATAATTTTAGTGAATATTACGCATCGTATAAAAACAGTTTTGAGACAGACGGTATGGAAGCGGTGACACCCTGGAAAATTTTGCGAAAGTTTTATATAAACATTTTACCAAAGAATTCGCAAAATATTTTTATTCACTAACGTAACTATACTGTCTGTAATTAATTAATTAATATTTTTGTAATATAATAATAGTATGGTATAGTTTCATATAGATTGTCTTGAAAATTTATGTCAAAAGAAAGTCGTTTCTTGGAAGATGCATCAAATTTTATAATAAAATAGGTGACATCAACAAACAACTAAGTATAAATAATTTCAAACAATTTGTAAAAGCTACCTTAATGGCAAGGGCCTACTATAATATCCAAGCATACATTGAGGACAAATGTTTGGAAATGACTCTCGCTCTGCACTTGCAAGGCCCCTGGCTGCTGCTGATTTTATACCTAAATAAGTGTGTATAATTGCATCAAAAAAAAAATAACAAAAAGAACAAGACCGCAGAGTTTCTTGCCAGTTCTTCTCTGTGCAGGTCTAGTTTAGAGAACCGGTGGTAGATTTTTGTTGACGTTCAATAAGAGCTTAAGTTAGGCCTATATTGAATAGATATACTTTGACTTTGACTTTGACTTTATGATTATGGTTTTTGATACCTATAAAAATAATTGTGAATTAAAACGAGAAACGTTTCTTGTAAGGACGTTTTACATTCTCAAATGTCACATGAACAAACATGCCGATTCGTGACATTATCTATAGATATTTATTCCCATTAAACGCTGAGTGCGTTTCGCTGAAAGCGAAGCCACTGGTTTAGTTGTTATTTTAACAATTATGACTATTACATTTTATCCTAGAGAAACGATCCATCCAATCTATCTCCATTCTCAATATTATTAGAATATCATCAACCACTATTCGACGCAGGCCCACACTAAACGATTTACATTTGTAATATTAACAGATCATTCAAAAATTATAGACGTTTTTGAGTTTTTCTATTTCTTATATTTTAAATCTGTATCTATAACATTTTTACCAGTTTTGTGAATTGCAACCTATGCAGAGGTTTGTTAAAAATTTACTCTGCCTCAGTAAATATAATCCCAAAGCATTATTGCTAACAGTCCAGTGTTGTGTTGGTCGTGTGGTATTGTTTTACATATATTTTCCGGGATGCCAGATCAGAAAGTGGGATATGACAAAACCTCCTGTGAAGTTTCCGCGAAGACACATAAAAAAATATAATCGCTTAATTCGTAAAGTTTCAAAATGCCACTAACTAAACTGCTTGGTTAGTTTGCAAGCTATCTACTGAAATTTACTCTGCCTCAGTAAATATAATAAAGCACTGCTCACCAGGTCGTGTGGTATTTACATATATTTAAGAAAAGTGGAAATCTGTGAATTGTTCTTATTTCAGTGCATTATTCCTAAGCACTCTAACTGTAGAAATCGTTTCTATTTCAGTTGCACCATCTATACCCTCATCATTGTCTACAGAAATAGATGCATCCACGAAATGTGCGCCTCCTAATGTTATTTTCGCGACGGCCTCATTATCAACTCGACGGCTATTAGTTTCACGAGTTGTGCGTTCTTAGGGTAGGTTGTCTGCGGTGTTGCCTGCACCGCGAGATATGATTATCTCGTCTACGTTCCGAAACTTGGTAGCATGCCAGTCGCGATCGCTAACTCCATTGGGTGTCGCCCTGCTCGAGCGGTTCTTTTACGATTTTTTAATAATTTTACTGCGTTCTAAAATCTGTCATTCAGACCATTCAACGGTGGGCTCGAGATAAACTCGATAATGGTTTTAACGCCGGCCGGAAGCGATGTTTTATATAGCAATGAACAACTCTATTATAAGTGGCTGCATTCACTAATTCAATTTGTTCCCCGTTTCCATTGGAGAGAAATGTGTTTTGACAACAGATATATCTCAATTCCCAAGCGCTGTCACGAATTTTGAACGTTGCAGAGTTAGTTTAATTTAATAGCTTCTGTGCGAATTATAAACGTAGTTCATTTGAATTTGAATATTATATCGTATATTTTGGTGCAAATTGTTCAAATGAGCGGAGTAGTGCAAACGAATATGGAATCATTTGACATGTGGGATGTAAAACGTTTTCAATTTAATTTTAAATTTCAATCAAAATTTGCACGAACTTTTGCAATGATTATGTTAGCGTTATTTGCAAGGGGTATAGTTTTGTTTTATAGACTGTTCTGTATCCTACATTTGGTGTGGTGTTCGCCCTAAGGTCTTCCCCTAAGGGCCGTAACAGATCGCGAGGCGTTTTACGTGCGTAACTTCTTGTTCAGTGTTTTGTATAAATAGGCGCGAGCCGCGCCAGCCCACGCGCACGCCCGCTCAGGTATGCGTGCGTCTAATTACGTTTGTTGCCGCTGATCGATAAATATCTGCGAATTTCTAACGCCCGGCCACTAAGTGCGTTATAACGTGTGATGATGGTTAAAATTATCAATTGAATAGCCCGCTCAACGGCTAGCAGTAAATACGCTGCTCTGATTCTGTACGCGTTTACAACAGTCGCGTCGAATATACCAATCCACAATCTATCGAACGTGAGGCGTATTTGGCAAATTTAATATTTTATCCTATATTGACAGTCAGCAACCCTATCAGATATATTTTCGTTGCTTTCTTCCGCATCATGTAGAACTTCATTGAAACTCGCAACTTTAAATGTAGATTTTTCAAATTCAATTAGTTAATTCGGTAATTTAGGTAAAACATAATTCATTAAAATTAATTTTAGCCTCCGTTATTTTTTACAATTGGTCCCTTCATAGACAAAAGGAGCCAAACAAATTCTATCTTATAATTTTACTGATTTGACGACCTGAATGGCGTTGTGGGTAGTGTACCTGCCTCATGCGTCAGAGGGTGTGGGTTCGATCCCCACTACTGGAAAAATATTGTGTGATGAACATGTGTTTTTCTAATGTCTGGGTGTTTATATATGTATAATATGTATTTATTTACAAAAGAAAATTATGTTTATGAGTTATCTAGTACCCATGGTACAAGCATTGCTTAGTTTGGGACTAGAGAACGTTGTGTGAAAATTTGTCCTTGTCCTGATATCAGACATCTGAATACCTACGGGTAAGATGTGTAGTTTGTTGTGTAAGCCATCCTCATTTCAGCAAAAAAAGAAAGCGAAACCACGTCGTTTTGCACTATCAACTGGAATATTAATGTTATTTTTAAAAATGTTAAACGTGAACCTGTTTACTTTCATATTAATGATTATAACTTAACATATATAATGATTTTCTTACACCTGTGATATAGATAGTCATAAGCACAATTAATTGTCATGCGGTGTTATCTTATCAAGCTTTTTAGTTCATAATGTGCAGGCAAAGTTCGTCATATTTTCGCCTGTACACGAGGAAAACTTCTTGAAACGTTGTATTTCCGAGAACCCAACGACGTCCATTACTTATTAACTGACGTTGAAACAACATTTTAGTTCGTTTGTTAGAATACTCCACTGATTTTCCTTATATTCAAAATCTTTCGTAAACATCAACTTTTCGTAAATAACGACACGGTAAAGTTTTTTTTTCTTTTTTTGTGTGAAAAGTTGCCAAACGAGCAGATGGTCACCTGATGTTAAGTGTATACCGCCGCCCATGGACGTCCGCCACACCCAAGGGTTACAGATGCGTTGATAACCTTTTGAAAATTAGGCTCCAGCTACCTCACTCACCAGACGAAACGCGAAAGCATTTGTCATACTACCACTTTACGCCGGTCTTCTGTGAGGTCGTGGTACTTACCCGGACGGTCCCGCCCATTCGTGCAACAGCCGAGGCTGCTGCGTGGCCCTACAACCGTAGTTGATTTCTAACAACCATTAAAAAACGCAACTTCAGTTGGATGCGTTGTATGGTCTGGTGTAAATTTAAACGTTATACGTTTTTGAAGTTGTTACTGGCTGCGATACGTGATCCTTTCTGGCCTCATATGTTACAAATATTACATAATAATAAGAATAAAATACTTCTCTTACAACGACATGTAAAATAAAGAAGTTGTCATGAAAACAGTATAAAATCCTTTTTTTTTTGAAGGAACACGCAAACAAGCTGGTAGTGAATGACCGTCAACGGAAATTTGCAATTAAATAATTAATATTTTAAGCGATCCATGTTTTGTTCACTGTTAACATAACTGTAAAAATCTCTTACCGTATTTCGATTTCTCAAACTACATGCACCAAACGATTAGTCATTATAAATGAATTTTTTTATTATCTAAAATTATTGTGATTGATTTTTCTTGTTTATACGAAAATGTATTAAAACTAATAAAGAAAGGTAAATAAACAAAAGTCATTTAGTATTAAGACACGAATGTTCACCATAAATTATTGTACATTTACAAAATAATTTTGAAAGTTGCGATAAGTATTGAAACGAAGCGTTGCATCACGTTGAATTGAAATGTACAAAGTTGCGCGACTTTTTGTTAAAATGAGTACATATTTCCATTAAATTTGTAAGTCCCGTTTATTTGTATACCGTTACTGCGCCATGACGATTTCGCAAAGCTTTACCCCGCAATCCATCCAAAATAATAGTTGCTCCGCAAATGTTCAAACGCACGAGCGGAACATCGGCGGACTCAGCCAATACAAATACAATACAAATACAATAACCAATACAGGGCGAGCGTAAACTTTGAAACGGAGCACCTTCCAGGTGACCTACTCGGGACTTCTGCTAAAAATACATTGACACATGCGAGACATTTTGTGCGCTATTTTCAAAATGGCCGCCTTAAATAAATATGCGGACGGACGCGGGGGACGTTACGCAAAGTGACGTGCCGTGACGTCATCGCTTACAAACAAGCGTCAACATAGTGAACTAGTATTACAAGTTGCTATGTTATCTGTGCGGGGGCACATTTGTCCGTAGGTCATACAGCA